ATGTTATGTTATGTTATGTTAGGTTAGGTTAGGTTAGGTTAGGTTAGGTTAGGTTAGGTTAGGTTAGGTTAGGTTAGGTTATGTTATGTTATGTTATGTTATGTTATGTTATGTTATGTTATGTTATGTTATGTTACATTATGTTCTAGTAGATTATATGATATTGCATTGTATGATATTCTGTTATGTGATAGTATACTATATTGGAGTAGGAAGCACTGAGCTTCAATACAGATGAGCCCACGGCAGCTTCGGTGTCTTCCTCGAGTATGGAAGGGTTTTCCGCCGTGCTCGAAATCCCAAAGCCGAAGAGAAACCTTAGACCTTGGCTTCGCACCCGAGCTACCAACTCCCGACGCCCCAATACCCAAAACTGGCCCTGAAACCCAAGCCCGAAACTACCAACCCCAAAACTGGTCCTCAACACTGCCTCAGGAATCTCAAATCACATTTTGGAAACCCCAAGCCCCTAAGCCCCAAGGCGAAAGCCCTGGGCAACCCTGGCCTCAAGCTCCGCTAGATGCGGCAGACCTGGCATTGATGAATAATTGCTCGCGAGGCTTTCCAGTAGCATTTAAGGCTGCACATCCTGATTTGAGGGCCACCGATGACTACTAATCTTCTCAGACAGAGTATGCATGTATGGCGGGATCGAGCGATGATGCCGCCAGACAGACCAAAGCGACTCTTCCTTCGTGGCCGATCGCAGTTCTTTTGCAGAAGCGGTCACGTGAGATGTGCTGACGGGACTGAGGCCACAATCCTGCAGGTACAAAACCGAAACTTTGAGAAGGTGAGAAGTGAACTAAGTGAAGGATATGCTTCAAACTACGGGTCTAAGGCAGTCATAGACGTATACTCTAAAATCATGCAGCGATATGACCCCAGCATGAGGCACAAAGTGACACAAAGCCTGCTCCAGCCCGAACCTCTGCAAAAGCCCCACAAGAATGCTCCACCTGCCCATAAGGTAGAATCTCGCCCTCGAAGGGGACACACCCACAAGAAGGACAGATGCAAATTTTAGCCTAACCCTAAACCCTAAGCCCCAAACTCTAAACCTAAACCCTCTTTTCATCCAAGCTGCCCTTTCCACGCAACTCCACTGCGGCTGCGGCGAAGTGCGCGCAGGTCTGCGGGCAAAACTTATATTTCATCTTTCACTTCACGACATGGTATTACATTGCATTACACTACAATGTATTTTAACTCACTCTACTATATTGTTCTATATTGAACTATATCACACAACGTTTTGTTACGTCATATTGTTTTATGTTATGTTGTCTTGTACTACATCATAGTTGTTTATGTTGTGGCGCTATGTGATGCGAACTTCTATTACGTATAGTCTGTTATAATCGGTTCTACTACATTTTATTCTCTTGTAGTATAATATGTTAGGTTCGGTCGTCTTATATTATAGTATACCTGTTCTTGTAGTATCTCATATTATACTATAATATACCATACTATGCGATGCTGTACTTTAGTATACTATTTTCTTATCGTAACACAATATATGAAAATATGACACTACAATGCAGTACATAATGCTATATCATGTTAAAGTCATATTGTCAGATTCGGGTATAATATACTATACTAGAACACATTGTGTTGTTCCATACTGACAAACAAATATTTAAATGATACACTAATATATGCTAGCTGCTGAAACATAGTACAAGAAAATGCGTTAAATACAACACATAGTACATATATATATATATATGCTTGCTGACCATATATATGTATATGTGTGTGTGTGTGTACATCGTGTCATCGTGTCTGTATGTATGAATGTATTTATGTATGTATGTATACGTTACATTATATATTGCATTACTTTAAGGTGTGATAGATAACATCAAAGTGTATTTCATTGTATGTAAGTATATTGCATTGGTCTCGATACACGCACATACATGCATGCATACATGCATACATACTCACCTACATACCTACATAGCTGCGTACCTATCTACATAGGTATGTACCTGCAGGTGTACAGGAATTACATAAATTTACATGACATGCAGACAGACAGACAGACAGACAGACAGACAGACAGACAGACAGACAGGCAGGCAGACAGACAGACAGACAGACGCACAGGCAGACAGACAGGCAGACAGACGGACAGACGGACCGACAAATGGACAGACGCAGAGACGGACAGACGGACAAAACTTTAAGCCCAAACACAAGGTAGGTGTCTGCGCAGACAAAGTCCGTCGCACCTGGTTGGCGGACCCAACTCCCTGTGCCAACTGCAGCTGCTTGACCTGAAGATTGAACGGTTGGGGTTACACGGTTCCCTTTGTCGGGGTTCTGTTCGATTGCTTGCTAGGTTCGGTGATACGGTCCTGTGCGCTTGTGAGAAACTGGGATGAACAGTCGACATGCCCGAAGCTTCGACAGCTTCGAGTCTAATTTCGATTTATCCTATAGGTCAGCCGAGTGAAAGTATCGGAAAGTAAGATGTGCTGCAAGGGAAGAAGAGAAGGACTCAAATGCCAAAAAGTCAAAGACCTGCACGCCCAAGCTTCGTCAGAAATCCAGAGCTTCCCCACTGCCGTAAATGGACGAAACCTTCGAAAAGCCACTGGGTCTCTAAACTCAGAAACAAGGAATCAGCACGTGGACTCCGAGGCCGCAGCCATCATGCCGGTACAAAGGTGTCTAAAGGAAATCTCCTTAGGCTCCCATCCTGCGACAGAGATTGAGGGGGACCTCGTTCTTGGGGAATCAGGACGCTTAGAACTCAAAGGTGAGGGATTAGGGTGTGGTGTCTAGAGGTCTTGAGATTTGAACCCTAAACCCTCAGTCCTAAACCCTAAACCCTAAGCCTTAAACCCTAAACCCTAAGCCCTAAACCCTAAACCCTAAGCCCTAAACCCTGAACCCCTAAGCCGTAAACCTTGAACAATAGACCCTCAGCCCTAAACGGAGGACCTCAGGGCTTGACATGACATGAAAATTTTCGGACGGTGGAGTCGGGGCTTCGGGGCAAAGGCACTGAGATGCCACGCTCACTAGATCGTGCTTCCCATGGCTTTGGGGCCGCCCAAGGTCTAGTCAGACTCGAGTTTTTAAGGTTTAGGGTTTAGGGGTGTATAGGGCTTAGGGTTTAGGGTTTAGGGTTTAGGGTTTAGGATTAGGGGTTTAGGGTATAGGGGATGCCCGGCAAAGGTGTTGACATGGTGGTTGGTTCAAGGCTGGATGGGAAGGAGAGGGATTTCGGATGATCTTGCCTTGGCGATGTGGGTCCTTTGGAGTGTCGTGTATATCTCGCAAGGATCTTCCCGACACGCACCCGAAGCCCGAAACTAGAAGCCCGAACCCAGAAGACCTCGGATATCCGAAGCATCCAGAGCGTTACGGTGGAGCCCCGCCTTCTATCGCGCCATAGGTCTCCTGTCAGAGTGGGGAGTATTCCAGGAGTGCGAAGAGGTTAAGGCGAACAGCTTTCCAAGCTGCAGCGCAAGCAGCTTGCCCTAAACTTCATAATGTCGGGGCCTTAATAATTAGAATAGGGTTTTGGGCGTCCCTTATTGTGATTATAGTATAATGGGCCCCAAAACCCTATTCTAATTATTAAGGCCCCTACACTACTTCAAACTTTAGACCATGACCCACACGCCTCTCTGCATGACTCTACGTCTACTTTCTGGGTAGCTGTACATCGTGCTTCCTTCGGAGCGAACTTAAAAGTCTTCTGAACGGCTCCTTCGGTGTTCAAGGTCTTCGGGCTTCGTAGCAGTGAGAGGTTTTAGGATTTGGGTAGTTCTCTAAAGGTCCATTTTTAGGTGCCGAACATAGCGCGGCACCCTTCTACAAGGACCCTAAAAGCGACCAACTACCCATTTGGCGTTTAGGACCTGGCGTTGGCGGATTGTCGCACTTGCAGGCAGGGGGCCTCTAGCTCTGCTTATCTGGAGGTCAGGGTGCAGGGTAGGGTTTAGGGTTCAGGGCTTGTTTAGGGTTTAGGGTTTTAGGGTTTAGGGGTTTAGGGTTTAGGGGTTTAGGGTTTAAGGTTTAGGGGTGGGAGAAATATAAACCAAATTTATGGTTTCGTGCCAGACTTGCAGCTTAGCACGTGGGGGGTGGGTTCTGCTTCTGCTGGAGGTCTACGATCCGATTCGTGACGATTGTTTTGCGGATCTTCTAGCAAAGCTGACTGAAAGTATCGCGTGAGCAAGCTGAGAGATACTCCGTGAGACTTGCCTGCTCTGATTGTCGCAAGGGTAGCCTCACCATGCTGACCGGACCACAGTTCGGGCTGCAGTTTCACTCTGTACCCGCTTCTCGCGGGCGCAGAAACCGAGCAAAGCAGCAACCTGCACCTCTAAGAAATACGTGTCCTTGTCACAGCCGTGTCGCTGTGCTTCCTCTGCCAATGCGAGGATGCGCTCCACCTTGCGCCCTGCATAGGCACCCATAACCAGCCTGTAATGGATAACCGTGGCTGATATGTTTGACTGGGCCATCTGTTCCATGAAGAAATCAGCTACAGCCGGGGCTCCAGCGAGCATGCAAGCTTTCAGAGCCGAGCCCAAGGTCACCTCACCAATTTGGAAGCCGTTGTCGGTCATGAGCTGCAGGAACTCACCAACTCCGGTTACATTGCCGGCCTCCGCCATTGAGTTGATCATCTCACTCAACAGGAGGTACAGAAACCGAGGGTCACCCGAAACCGCTATGTCGTCACGAGCTTCTTCGAAGAGGGCGTAGGCATCTTCATACTGCCCAAGCATGGAGAACAGCTTTAGGGCACAGTTATATGTGATCGAGTTCTTAGGCAGGCGCTTCTCACACATGTCCCAGAAAATGCGCTGCCCATCTGCATACCGACCACACCGAAAGGCGGCATGCATCATCGCGTTGCACAGAGGGGTCTTCAGGCGAGAAGAGGAGTCCCAAGCGGCCTTGGCTCTGTACCAGTCTAGCTTGCCTGCTGCAGTAGAGATCATGCTCAATGACTCGATATGGGGGTTTCCGAAAATAGGGGACCCTAATATAGTACCCTAAATAGTAGGATCCTTATTTTAAGGACCCCAAAAATACGGTACCCTTATTTTCGGAAACTCCCATATCTGCCTTTGAAAGATTGTGGTCGTCACAGCCAATTTCTGCCACTGGCATCCCGACGCAGCAGCCCTTCTCTTCGTGCCTCCTCTTCCATGTGGGTGGTTGTCAAAATTATGGTCCCTTTTTGGGTCCTTATTATAATACGGCACCTATTATTTAGGGTACCCCAAAAGGCACCATAATTTTGACAACTACCCATGTACTTGGTTACGCCTCGGCGTCCTGCACAGACGATCTCTCGCATCTGCAGCCGGGCAAGCATGAAAGCTGCAAGCATCCATATTAGGCGATGCCTGCGGCTCCAAACCATCTGCTGCGCAAAAGCCATGTTGTGCACCAGGAGCCAAACACTGCAGGCCTCCCCGATTCTATGCCATGGACCTCCACGAACTGCACACTACACGACCTCTCTGAACCACTCATCGTTAGCGCACAGCTGGAAAGCGCAGCCAGTATTTCCGGAGACTGGTCACTTTTCACTGCGCCATGTTTACACCTAGCTCTGTCTTTTGTTCTCGGTCACGAACATCCTGATTCTGTGCTACTGTAGCCGTGGCTGCAACTGTTGCATGCTGTCATTATGGCATATATAATGTACTATCCTTACTACACTATACGATAATACACTATAGCAGACAATAATTCACGATAACATACTATGATATACTAGGATATACTATCTATAGTATACTATACTCTACTAGACTAGACTAGACTAGACTAGACTAGACTAGACTAGACTAGACTAGACTAGACTAGACTAGACTAGACTAGACTAGACTAGACTAGAATGCTCTTGGCTGCTACACACTCGCTGGGCCTCCAGGAATCTCGAGCAGTCCGCGCGGCTCAGATCTCCAAGAACCTGGGTGCAGCTTGGGCTTCCCTCGGTTTAGGGTTTGTAGGGCTTGTAGGGTTTTGGATTTTGGGTTTTGGGTTTAGGGTTTAGTGTTTCGGGTTTAGGGCTTAGGCGCAAAGGCTGTTGGTGATGAGAGCTTCACGAGAGTTAAGGTTTAAAGGATTTGGCGTTTTGGTTCAGGGTGAATTAACGGCCGAGGTGTCGTGCTCGAAGACTTTGGCTAAGTTGGGTTCTCGACGGAGGTTGGCTGTCTGAATATAAGAAAAACTGCAGCGAAAATGGCGACTTCGGGATGATGTGCAGCTTCCTGAAGAACCACAGAGAAAACAAAAAGCTTGATACCGTCACGAATATCATGTTGGTCGTAAGCTTAAGCACATCAGTGGTTGCTTAGGGAGGCCTTATCGTCCAAACAGTAATACCTCTGCGTGGAGCAACAACAAGCTGAAAACGAGGACGATCGCGGAAGGCACGCATTGAAATCTCTTCCCCCAGACCCTAAACCCTAAACTCTATAGAGAGCTCTTTGCTTCCATGCTGCTGACTGACCCCGGCGTGCTTCGTTGCTTTGCACGGCCGCAGCGCCTTGGGCAAGGTCGGGCCCAAACCCTGAAACAGTACTCCGACGGCGACGTCGTCGACGACGACTGTGACGACCAAGACCACAAGGACTACGACTGCGAGCAAAACGATCGTCTCAACTACGACGCCGATGACAAGAACGACACCTGCCATCGTTTTGCAACGATGAAGAATGTTAAGGCCTATTACTGTGATAATGACTTCGACCCACGACGACAGCGACAACGACGGCGACGACGACGAAGAAGACATGTGGGGCTGTCACTAGGGCGGCTCTCGCTGACGGGAAATGAGGAGCACAGGATGCAAAGCCCTTCCAACCCACACAAAAAATAACCGATCCCTTAGAGCGAGATCGCAAGAGCGCTCCTCCATACACCTCCCTGAAGGTCAAACCTTGTAACGCAAGGGCGAAGGCAAGAAATGACGAAGTTGTGCCTTGGTCCTACATGGTAGGGTTCTTTCTCTTGGAACGGTGCGCCGGTGGGGCAGCTGTAACATTACCCTGTCCACTATTTCTTTAGCCATCTTGCTACCGAGACGCCTGCGGCCAGTACGGCAGCCAGCCAGGCCGTGCGCATGGTGGGCTGGTGAGCCCAGGCGGCTGCAGACCCAGCGCTGCCCGGGGGGTGCAGGGAGTCCGACGACGACGACGACGAGTTACTGCTACCGTCGCCTCTAAAGACTAATAGGGACCCTTAATCCCATTACCTTAAATAACCATTGTATAGTCCTTATATACCCCTTATATAGCCAGGTAGCCTCCATATTCTACAAGGGTCCCTATTAAGGGTCCCTCCTAAAGCCCTCAGATCGCCGCAGTCACAACGCCTCTCGCTGTAGCTATTTGTGAAGAGGCCTTGCGCTCGCACAGAGCAAAGGCTTCTGCAATCCAGTCGGGTCGCGACGCGCCAGCGTCTGCTCGCTACTGTAGAGGAATCCAGGAATGTGCTGAAACTACGTTCAATCCTCTCATGTGCGGCTGTGCAGCTGGGCTGTGTCCTGGAACGTCTCTGAGCTACTGTTGATGGACAAAATCCTGCATGACCCAAATATAAATCCCATAGTTTAGGTATATAAGGTCATGCAGGATTTTGTCCATCAACCGTAGTTATGAGGCTTTGCGACAGCATGAAGCAACGAGTTCAAGCGGATGCTCGATGTCATCTGACGGCTGACCCCTACCCCTGCCCTTGGAGTGTTGGATGACCTGTCCCACCAAAAAGCCGAAGATAAGACGTCTCCAAGTTCCCGGTGTCGACGTTTCGGAGTATTAAGTGTGTGGGGGGACGGTAAAAATCCCTAAACCCTAAACCCTAAACCCCTAAACCCTAAACCCCTAAACCCCTAAACCCTAAACCCCTGAACCCCTAAACCCCTAAACCCTACTAAGACAGAGCCTGTGACCGGCCGTGCTTGTGACTTTTTGCCAGGAGGGCTAGCGCCTTCCACGGCCGCGGCCACCTTGGAGTTATGATTCGAGCCAGACCTTCCCCACTTCCAACATCCCTTAATAAAGGAATAGGGGTTTAGGGTTAGGGTTTAGGGTTTAGGGTTTAGGGTTTAGGGTTTAGGGTTTAGGGTTTAGGGTTTAGGGTAATATACCTTAAACTATAGCAGAGATCCCTAACATGAATTAAGGTCTGCTCCTTAATGAAGGGGTTTTGGAAGGTCCGGGCAGCTACCCGGTCGGGGCTGTCATTTGAGACCATCGGGTCAAGGTCTTCACAATCGTCTTAGCTTGCCGATACTTAAAGGATCATGGGAGTTAGTAACTAAGGTTATTGTTAGGATAACTATACTTATAACTACTTATAACCCCGATTAAGGTACTTATAACTATGCTTACTAAGTCCCATGATCCTCCAAGTATTGTCCGAACTTGTCTGCAGGTATGCCTCTATGCAGCGGGCCCTGATGCAGAAACCGGTTTTCCAAGGCAAGGAGTGTGAAGTGGGAAGTTGATCCTTCATAAACCCTAGCACCCTAAACCTCAAGCCAATCCGCGTTTCAAATCCAGGAGAAAGCTCAGAGCCAAACGACCACGGACGGCCTTCAAGCCCGTCACCTAAGTTCAGAACAAATGTGCCGTCTAGTGCTGAAGGAGGCTGCTTTCCGGCCTTGAAGTGTAGGTCGTCGCGACAGGTAAGCAGGGGTTTAGGGGGGAAACTGAGGTCGAGGGCTTACGTTTGGGTTCCTGGCTGCCGATTCCGCGTTGGATTTCCAAGCAGGCTGACATTGAGAGCACTGTGGGTGTTCATGCTGGACTCCGCACCGCAACTCCCTGACACTCAGTGCGACCAAAGGACAAGTTCAGCTTCGCGAGCAGTTTCTGCACACAGCCTTGGGTAATGCAGGGGCCTTCATAACTAGAATAGGGTTTTTGGGGCCCATTATATCTATAACAAGGAACCCACCCGAAAAAAAATAGTATAGGTAATTATATCGGCCCCTACAAAAGGGCAGGCCATGAGCTATGAGCTTGGTACTTTCAGGCTGGCGGAGATTACGGCTCTCGTCCGCCCGAAACTTGTGCACGAACTAGGTGGGTTTAGGGTTTAGGGTTTTAGGGTATAGGGTTTAGGGTTTTAGGGTTTAGGGGTTAGGGTATAGGGTTTAGGGGTTGGGTTTTAGGGTTTTGGGGTTTGGTTTTCGGGTTTAGGGGGTTTAGGGGTTAGGTTTTGGGGTTTAGGGGTAAGGTTTTAGGGTTTAGGGTTTAGGTTTTAGGGTTTAAGGTGGTGTGGCGCTGAAGTCTTTGAAAAAACGCCCCTCTGATCCACTCGCAGCTCCGACCGGATGACTCGAACCTCCATGACACAAGCTGGGCCGCTGTTGAAGCTCGGAAAGTTTGCTGGTCGGACCTGGGCACGGGTGCTGCAGTATTTGGCACCATGCAGAAAGAGCAGCGGCAGATCTGCTTCAGAGCGAAACTGTCAGCTTGCAGCACAAGAGAGGTTTCATCGCGCTTCCCTAAGTTGCTGCTGCCAGTCGTTGCTGAACTCTTTCAAACCAAACCCGAGGCCTCAATGCCAAATAATGGCACCCCACCGGTCACATGCTGCCTCTAAGTCTTGCGATGTCATGCCACAACCTGATCCACTTCTGAAAGCCTTGACTTTATGCGCCCAGCGCTCAAGCCTGCCTCATGTAGTTTGCAACGGAGGAACTAATCTAACCGACGTGGGAAATCGGAGCTTCTAAACCCGTTAAACCCTAAACCCTATATCCAATGCCCTAATCCTTAAACCCTAAAACCTAAACCCTAAACCCTAAAACCTAAACCCTAAAACTAAACCCTAAACCCTAAACCCTAAAACCTAAACCCTAAACCCTAAACCCTAAACCCTAAAACTATATCTCCAACTCTCCCTCAGACCCCGGGGTTTCACGACTTCGACGACTTTGGGGTTTCCCTCTTTCGGATCTCTGAAGCCCGGGAGTGCAACGCACGTTTCAGGTTTCAAGATGTAGCCATGTGGTAAGCCGTTTAGGGTTTTAGGGCCGAGAGCTTTGGGTTTAGGGTTTAGGGTTTAGGGTTTTTAGGGTTTAGGGTTTAGGGTTTAGGGTTTAGGGTTTAGGGTTTAGGGTTCGGGGTTTAGGGTTCAGGGTTCAGTGTAGTAGGCTCCTCCACTCCGGGTTATGGACACGACCCTATGGCAACGGACCCGCAGGAACTATGCACCCAAAAGGCACGCAGGGGATCAAAGTTATTTGGCTTGGGAGATGCCGCAACTCTCAATACTTGGAGGATCATGGGACTTAGTAAGTATGGTTATAAGTACCTTAATTGGGCTTATAAGTAGTTATATAATTATAAGTATAGTTACCCTAATAATAAACTTAGCTACTAAGTCCCATGATCCTCCAAGTATGGCCAACCCCCTTAGCAGGCCTGCATCCGAAATCCTGCACTCTGACTCCCAAGCCCAAAAGCCCCAAAACCAAAGATCCTAGACCCTGGAACCCCCCAAACCCCGAAAACCCCGAAAACCCCGAAAACCCTTAACCCTAAGGCCCTAAAACCCTGAAAGCTAAACCCGAATTAAACCCTAAGCCCTAAACCCTCAAATCTAATAAGCAACACCTTCCATAGGGCCCCAAAAAACCACACAAGCAAAAATTTGGATAGGGGTATCCCATATACACCCCCCATAATGAAGCCCAATAAGGTAGGGATATCCCCATAAAATGCTTATGCTTATGTCCTTTTTGGGTTCCTAACTCCACTTTCAAGCGCTCCGGCCTTGAGCCGCGGCGTCCGCATAGCCACCGGCGACCTCTTCCTTCGCCTTCTGTCTGGGGGTTTAGGGTTTAGGGTTTAGGCTTTTTTTTTTAAGCCTTTTTCCACCTCGCAACAAGT